TTTCCAGGTATCCTAAAGTCAGAAATCATAGTTTTTGTGTTTCTCTTCAGCTCTCCAGTGAAGTAACCCCTAATAATTCTGTAATTAATCAGTCCTTTAATTTTGAGTATACACTATTCATATACTGTACATATGGTGACTGGATGTACAGTATACTTCCAGTCTTGAGAGTTCTAACATCACTGTCAGAAGTGGCATCTCCTCATGATTAGGTAAAAATGTTGAGGTCATGGCTCCTTCCTCTTCTTAACGGGTGTAGCTGCTGTTCTGATATCATTGTGAGGATCTGTCTGTGTTAATAATTAATCTTCCTTTCTGCTCCCATGATTGTTCTTTGACCTGGCTTAAAGTACACATATGACACTTAGATGTTACTCTGACTACAACTCTGCAGTTTTATTGCCGTTTTGCTGCAGATGTGAAATGCGCCACCTCAGCAGGAGACAAAGAGTGAAAGTCTACCTGATGTTCAGGTGTTTCCTGAGGGAAGGTTATTGATTCATAATTAGGTAACATGCAGTTCTATAGAATGAGTGTTTGAATGAATGTGAATTCACATGACTCAAGGTTGTTAAAGGTTTTACTTGACACATTTTGAATTTGCTTTATAAATAGGACCTGAGCTGACTTGTTTAGATCACAGCATATTTTACACCACTATTGATTCTTGCTTTTTCCAGTGCAGTGTGTGAATCCTTTTCAGTCATGAACTCTGGAGAATGTCCACACCATTGGGTCTGGACTTTCATAGGTGAAGAACCCTGCAGGACATTCTTGGTCAGACACGTTCACAACAACACAGAAATCTCTGGAGCATCCACCTGCAGAGATCAAATCTTTTTTTGTTTACAGCACCAAAAGCTCTCTTGACATTGACAGTGTTTTCTGTGCTTTTTTATCCAGAGATGTTTGTATTCACTTTGTTAAGTTTTTTTTTTCCAGTTTTGCATCAGTTGCATGTTAGAAACTTAGGATAGGACGAAGGATGTGCAGATCCTCTGACTCAAACATTAGTGCTCTCACATACAGCCCTTCCAGATAATGTCAGGAGATTATCTGCAGTTCAGTCCATGTCTGAAAGCAGCCATGGTGTGTAATATGTAATTGTTGTGTATCCCTTCACCAGGCACGTTAGTAGGAACATCATAACACCCACATTTATAATCCCTCATTTGGCAGCAACTTTCAATCTCCTGTTCTACCACATTCCCTAAAAGTCCTCTACCAAATGCTCATCTGGTGATTAGTAAAGTTCACTGAACTCATTTTCATGTTCATGCTTGAGAGCTCAAGTCATGGTACTGCAATGTAGTTAATTGATGTCGAATATAAATATGGCAGAAAAAGATATTTTATGTGTGTAAAAGTCCAGACTTCTTTTTCAAGGTTACGACTTGATTTTAGGGTTCAGGTCAAAATTAGAATTGGAGTAGAGTGTTTCAAGGGGCTTTGGGGGGTAATCAGGCAAATTGTACCTAGGAGGTCCTTCACACGCTCCCAGATTTCCACTACAACTAACTACTTTGCTATTATATATGCACAGTATGTTGATGCAGGCCCCCCAGGTCCCTTTTGCCTGAAGTCCCTTTAAACACTCCTGTATTCCAGGCCTATGATATGCACACACATGAAGACGTTCTAGTCTTCATCCAAACCTCTAAAATTCCGAACACTATTTTGAGACAACTTTTCCTCTGTGACATTTTGTATTATCTTGCTGGGAGTAGCCATTAGATCTGTGTGGTTAGGAATAATACCCAGATAAGCTGTGGCATTCATGATTACTTGGTATTAAGGAGCTTGCAGTGTGCCAAGAACACTTTCTTCAAACTATCAGAGCACCACCAGAAGCCTGGACTGTTGACACAAGGCAGGTATATGGATTCATGGTGTCGACACCAAAAAGCAGATTTTTACAGACTCAGCAGAAAATCAGATTCATCAGAACAGACTTTGTTTCTTAAGTCTTCAACTGTCCACTGTTAGAGAGCCTGTGTCAACTGTAGTGTCAGATTTCTGCCTGACAGGAATGGAACCTGATTTGTTCCTCTGCTGTTCATCCTGCTCAAAGTTGGATGTGTTGTTTGCTCTGAGAAGCTTTTCTGTGCAACACAGTTGTAAAAATGATTAATCTGAGTAACCACAACCTTTTAAACAAGTCTAGCCTTTCTTCTCTGACCTCACTTACCAACAAGGCGTTTGTCAGGATGTTTTTCACATCATGAGTAAATTCTCCACTGTTAGCCGTGAAAGCCTCAGGAGAGCAGCAGTTTGAGAAGTAGACTCTTATGTCTGATGTGAACATTAGCTCCTGATCTTTAGCTGCAAGGTTTTAATGCACCGCACTGCTGCCAAATGAGAGGCTGAATCGATAACTGCATGAAGAAACAGGTGTTCCTTAATAAAGTGCTCACTGGTTGTATATATATATCCTTGTCATACCTTATGAAATATTTTTTGCTCAAGGCTTTCTGTGAAATGGGATGAGTGATGACATCCAAACATATGGAAACACAGGGAGTCATGGTACTGTAGTGTAGCTTTGATAAGGAATTCATTACGGATACAAATAATCAAAAACTCCTCCAAGGACAATCATACACACACAAAATCTTTTGGCGGAAACCTTGTGTCATGGGGCCTCATTAGAAGTGTCTGGCTGCAGTGTCATTGCAGTCTCCTGTTTGTAGCTGATCATAAAATTTAAGGGCCGTCTCACAAAACTTTCATTGCTGTCCACAAATGAAATCAGCAGTTCTCAGGTGGCTCCTTCTCAGGATCCCAAGCAATTCAATGCTTTTCCGCCCCTGTTGCAATGCCCCCTGGGTATGTGAGGATGGGGGCTGGGATCAGGCATTTACAGTAGATGTGATGGTTAAGGTACGGGGCAAGGGAATGTATAATGTCTACTATAGCACTAAATATGATGTCAGTTCATGAGCTGTCTCCATGGGGGTGGTAGAACAAACATGTTTGTGTTGTGTATATAACAGCTTGAATAACGATATGTTTTATGTTGCAGGGAGGCATAGAGAAAGGATTGGAAATGAAGAAACTGGTGCTGTCTGGTTTCTTGGCCAGTGAGGAGATCTACATTAACCAGCTGGAGGCCCTGCTACTGGTGAGACACACACACACAAACACAACAGCATGTGTGTTGCAGGACGATTTGAACTGCCAAAAAAGAATTTCTAGTTAATGCTCATCATGCTGAGAGCAGGACCACAGTTGCAGCAGTTTCCCGAAACACAAGCTGAAGATGCTTCCCCATTCTGAGCCACTATGTCATATCCTGCTTCTGTCAGACACATGCTGCACTTTGACCAACATTGTGCAGCTTGTGTGCAACGTTAAGAAATACTTTCAAATTGTTTAGTCTTATATATATAAATATATAACTATATATAGTTTAGAAATCTGCACTGCTGCAACACAAAAGCACTTGTTAGTAGGCAGTTAATTCATTAAACCATTGACTGCAATGATCATTCTGTCTTTCAGTTCCTTCTGTTTCAGCTCTTACTGACACCACAGGTCATTATACAATTCAACCAATAGTTTGTTCCTGTCCCTCTCCACTTCCCCCCAGTCACTGAGAAAATGTCTGCAACTTAAGCTGTGTGCTGCATTTTTATATATCGTAGATTGGCAAATTTTAGTTTACACTACTAATTTGTAGGCTTGCCAGGATTTGAAAACAAATGTCACAAGGATGTGCATCTGTTACATACGTTTTTGATTGTTAGACTGAATATCTGACTTGATATTAAAGAGACAAGTCTGTTGTGTTTGGTTTGTTCACCTCAGACAGAGGCCCTGTTCAGACCTAGTATTAACAGGATCCAATCACAAGTAGACAGCTCTAAGTTCAGGTGTGTGAACACACAGCGAAGACACATCACATTAAGATGTGGACTGGAACGCATATGTTATCATTATTTTAGCTGTGTGAACACAAATGCATCCTGGGCCACATTGAAGGACCTCCTACTCAACTGACGTTCTCTGACCCGCTGGAGTTTCACCATGAACACAAAGTATTTTTGCATTAATCATTTTTTCCCATACACTAATTTATTTGAGGCCACAGCCACAAGATTGACACTGACCAACAGATATTGATTTTCTATTTTTTTAGCTCTTATTTCATAGAGCGTGGATTTACTCAATCTCGCTCTCTTGCTCACTCTCTCTCTCTCCCTTTTGCTCCCTCTCTCTCACACACACACTGACAGACACACAGAGACATAGAAAACAGACCCATCTGTAGAGTCGGACTGGCTAAAAATATCCCTATTTGGTCTTTGAAGACAGAAATGACATAGATGTTTATTTTCGTGTAGAGAAGTGAGATCTGATCACAAGTGGTCACTCAAGATGGTGTCTAGTGTCAGGTGGGAACAGGACCAGTGACCATCTACTCATTTGCTAAATTAGTAGGTGGGCCAAAGGACTAAATTTACAACTGGTTCAACACGTCTTCTCTTCTCTCCTGTCCTCTCCTCGAGTATTAAACTTGTATAACATGGAAAAACACATTTGTCTCTATGGAGGCTTTTCCTCTTCCATCATATATAGACCATGCTGGAGGCGTGGACTGTGTCTCCACAGTCATTATCAGGGCTTAAATGAGCCGGCCTGTCTGATTAACCATCACACAACCCCTACAATCAGCAGGAGACTGACTCATCATCAGCTCCAGAGACTCCGTGACATGAAAGCCTTTCTATTTTTACTGTATTTCATGGTCCCCCACTACCATGCCCACCTCACACATCTGTGATTAACTGAGTTGACTTCCTACTGGTCAGTATTAGCACAGGGGAGAAGAGGCTCACCCAACTGCAGAGTGAGACAGAGTGTGACACATAGCAAGTTATAAAAACTTTCTTTTCCAGGCACTGACCCAATGAAACCACCGATTGGCCAGTTAACTGCCCCAAATTGTTCTTGCAGCCTGCTCAGAAATTAGAGTAGTGTTTTAAATAGACTTTATGACATATTAAAGTTGATGTAGGTACATATATCATAGGATAAACAGTAATTGTTACAGTAAGTATTACGGTTTTGGTGTGATGTCTTGCTTTTTAGCTTTTCATTTTTTTTTTTTTTTAATTTTGGCAAAGATATTTCTCAGCTCATGAACTTTTCCTTTCCTTCTCTTTGTGATTTTCCAGCCAATGCGTCCTCTGAAAGCCACAGCCACAACCTCACAGCCTGTCCTGACCATCCAGCAGATAAAGACCATCTTCTACAAAATCCAGGACATCTTCGAGATCCACAAGGAGTTCTACGACGCCCTCTTACCCAACATCCAGCAGTGGGATGAGAAGGTCACTGTGGGACATTTGTTCCAGAAGCTGGTGAGTCTGACGCGAGCCCAGAAATTACAGCGTGTGGGTCTTTTTTTATCGTCTCTCCATCGCTTGCAGGGTACATGTAAATTAGTACTAAAGTTAGAATTGTCAGGCTTCTTGATATTGCGCTCCTGTGTGTGTGTGTTTGTGATCTCATTGCATTAGTAGGAAGGACAGAAGTTGTGGTCTCTGGTCAATCAGTGTGTCACACTGTCACATTTACTTTGTATTATGTGGATACATAATGTAACAGCATCATTGTTATGTGTGGCCCGGACGTGTCTGTATCCGGTTCCATTCCTCAGTCAGTGAGTTTTTCCTCCCACTGTTTTAGATCATTACAGCTAAAGAACAAGTTGCAGAGAGGATAATGAAAATTGAATGGGGCTTCTTTATATTGGCTGTTGACAAGTTGTACGTTTTCGTTGTGTATTCAAATTCTCTCTTCTTGTTGTAATTACTGATGCTTTTATTGATATGATTTTGGAATATCATGTTATTTGAAGATCATTCTACAGCAGTGCATATACTGTAGCTGAAAGACACTGTGCAGTGCTAATGTCAAATAACAACTGTCAAAACACTGAAGCTTAGAAAGAAGCAACTTGCCACGAGTAATAGAAAAAAAGAAAATACATTATAACACTATGGTATATTTCAGAAAATCTGCTTTTTAATTTTTTCAGCAGCGAGACAAAGGTAAACAACTGCTTATGTCCCACATTCAGTTTTACGTCATGTTTGATTCTTGCTAATAAGCTGCGTGTTGATCAGATTTCCCATTATGAGAGACCATGGGACATTTTGTCAAGTCACGAGCACACTGTGTTTTTAACCAGAGAATAGAAGAGTAACTGACTTTGAACAATAGTCTTTTCTTATTTTATGAAGTTGTTAAACATCTCGTTGAGTCTGTGTCGAGTCATTAAGGTTGTACGCTTCATGTAAAATCTGTGAAAGCAAAGCATGTGGTTTGGGACGTTTCTTTAGAAGGTCTGTGGTGAAATTTCCAACTAGCAAGTAAAGTATATGTCAATGCTTGAGTGCAGGTTTGAGTCATGAGCGGTCAAGTAAGAGTCAGACTCACCAGTCAACTCTGTTTTTCAGATGTATGAATCATATGATAACAGTAGCACCTAATCTGACATGAAACTGAGCAAGTGTGTTTGAATCTTTCACTATTGTTTTTACCGTCTCACTAGGGGTTACAGGGAGCCTATATTATATAAAATATCAATGTGAATATTTATAGCAGTTACCCACTATGACTCAAAGCTTGCCAACTTCCTGTTCATAAAGTAGGACAATATAAACTCAAAATATCTATTTTTGTAATATGTTTTCAAGAGTAGGTTTTGGTATAATAAACCCTACATATATAGAGCTCTGTGCAAAAAGACATACTGAGGAAAAAACCCTCAGGTGAGCCTTCCTATGGAAGCCCAGGATTCATATTAAATGCTGAGCTTATGTTTTGTTGTCTATGAACAGAGATCGTGTGTAGGAGTACTGTGTGATCTCGTGATAGTTTAATAACCTCCTCGGCCCCTCGTCTTCTCTGAGGACCCCAGGAGTCACACCACCAACCGACACCAATCAGTGAAGTCATCAGCTCCCATCTGTGCTGCGTACGTGTGCGTACATGAGCATGTTGTGCGGCAACTAAACATTTAGTCAGAGCGTCAGTGTGACAGTACAGATGGCAGCGTAATTAGCTGGTCTACTCCCCACTGCTCCTCGTCAGCAGCACGGAGCCCATCAGAGCAGCACGGAGAGACGGAAGCGGGCAGACGCAGAATAAGAGCCAGCCAAACCTTTCTCACCTTTTTCAGTCAAGAGAAGGGTTCAGCTGCATCCTGTGACTGCCAGGTCTACAGTTCGTCCAACCAGATTATCCAAATCCCTGGAGGCGGTCTAATCTTGGAATGGTCATGGTTGTCAGGAGCCATGGCAAAAAAAAGTGTATTGTAATAGAAACATAATTTTATTGTGGACTCAAATAGTTGTTTGTGACTTGACATTACATTTTACACAGACGTCTTTCTCCCAAATTGATAAAGACATGATATTCACTGGTTTTGGCTTTTAGTTAAACAGCTCCAGTAGATGGAAGGCCATGAAATTTGATCATCCAACTTTTGATATTACTTTTCATTGAACTCAGAATAGTATGGCATATTAACATTGCCACTAAAATATACGATATAGAGTCCAGTAATGTCCTCTGAATGGCTGTTCAAACAGTGATGTATTTTACTGAGATGTAGGTAGCCCCACGACTTGGTCCATTCTGTCTTTTGGCATAGGTTATGTAATACATTCAAATTCTCAGATCAAAGAGATCAGGCAAATGAATCAGGGCAGAGTAGATCTGTCAGATGTGTAGGGCCTTGGTGGTGCAGTGCTCTATATGTAAGACTGAGAATATTTAACTGAACTCTGTAGGAGCCAGTGAAGAGAAGTAAGTACCAGCACTTTATGACTCTTGTCTGTATAAAGTGCTCTATAAATAAACTGAATGACCTTACTGACATTAGCATTTAGCTCAAAGCTTTACTGTGTCAAAATCCAGCCTGTTTAGTTTTGTAACTGGATTATATACTTTTTATGAACAATATCATGTTGAGGAGATTTGGGGTCAGGATTTTCTCACTCTGAGATTTGGATTTATGTCTATATTTTGTGGCCTCTCAGTGATGCTAGTTGCAGCATCTTTTGATTCCACTCTGGCTTGTTGAGTTTGAGGGTGAACGATTAAGTTGGAAACTATTTGTTTCAACTATGGCCCATGGGAGACAATGGAGAATGGTGCACTTATTGCATTTATTGCAATATATGTATTGCAATTGTCAACATTTCTCAACAACACAGCAGTTAAATGTGATATATAGCTGATATTAACCATGTGAACTGTGCTATAACAAAGTAGGCCATCCTCTAAAATTACAAATTCAGCTTAAAAGTGTCTATTGCTAGATTATTCCCCCTGTTTCTTTCCAGTCCTAACTTTTTCTGCCTCCTCCCTTCCAGTTTAACTCGATGTTGTTTTCCCTCCCACCACTTTGACTGAGATCTTGTGGTTTGACGTGTGGACACGATGTTTGCAGTATTGCTCAAAGTTCTGTGTCTCTTTGAGGAAAGAGCTGGAGGTTTCGTACTGGTCACAGCGAGTCCAAGTAACATTGCAAACTGATGAAATACCATGATCCTGACATTCTGTTTGGTTTGAACCAAGTCCTGATGACTCCCTCACAGCTCCTCTCTTGAGGCCAAGTCTTCCTCCGCGAGGAAGTGGAAGGAGAGGAAATGAAAATACTGTAGGAGGAGAAGGGATTTAAGGACAAAAGTAACAATTCTTACTCATGCAATCTATTCAGCTAAATCCAATCTCATAGCTTTAATAGTGTGCAGTCAGCTCTTCAGCCTGGCATATTCATGCACTGCTGGTCTGCAGCTTGTGTCACAATGCACATACAGTGCTGCAGAGAGGAGCTGGTAGAAGAATGGGAAGAGAGAGAAGAAAGTGACCCTGTGTCGATCAGGACGACTGCATAGAGTCACCAGTGGAGTGGCATCATGGGAATGTGATTAGAATTGTGTTCACTGAGTATAGTGTACTTTGTGTGCTGTTACGTGTGTGTCTGTGTGTGTGTGTGTGTGTGTGAGTGAGTGAGTGAGTGAGTGAGTGTAGGGTGGGTGGGCAAATGTGAGGAAAAATTCTGATGGGAATAGAAATGAAGTAACCAGCGCTGTATATGAATTTTAATACAACTGTGTGATCTGCAGAAAACTTGTGCCTGCTAAATGTAAATGAATGCATTTTTGAGGCAGACCTATGCTGTAATAGGAAAATGTATGGAAAACACATTGAGAAAACCTTTTTTCTCAATGTGTCTCCAGTATCCACTAAATCCAATCCACATCAGAAAGCCAAGGGGTAAATGACACTGTCATTGTGCCTATTTACAGGCAAATTTTCTCTGATGTCAGCTGAAGTGACTGCTGTGTTATTCTGCTGTGATCCTGTTCTATAAGTCATTTAACACATCACGGCATGATGTCAGAGGAAAATGGCCACCGTATATGGTCTATAGACAGTCATCTTTTATTTTCAGCTGCTTCTTTTATGTTGTACCTTAATATCTCTTCTCTTAATTCTCTGTCTTTCATGACCCAGGCCAGCCAGCTTGGTGTGTACAAGGCCTTTGTGGACAACTACAAGGTGGCGCTAGAGACGGCAGAGAAGTGCAGCCAAGCCAACAGCCAATTCCAGAAGATATCTGAGGTAAGTCAATCATCCAGAGATAAAAAACGAGTCAGGAAGCAGATAGAAGGACTTAAGCAGAACATGCCTGAATAGTCAGTGCTGTCATTGTGAAGTCAATTAAAATCAAGTATTAGTCAGTGGCAGAATTACTATACACACATCATTTGAGATTGGTGTCATTTCTACACTATATTTTACATAGTTTGCAATTAGATTATATTTCACTGTGAATCCATCCCATATTCTTGCTGAGGAATGCAAAAGGTACAGAAAACACACATATTCTAGTTTACTTCCCTGGCTCCATAACAGTTCCTTTGACAACAATTCCTTGATCGGTCTTAATTGTCACGTTAATCCTCTTCATTAAAGTGAAGAAGAAAAACAAATGCACATGTATCGACAGTAAAAAGGAGAAGACAGGAAAGACGAAGCATCCTCTTTTTGATAGGAAGCAACGTTTTTGGGAAACGTCTTATTTTGAGGAACATCACTGTAAAACACTATCAAAGGATTTTGTTGTTATTTTAAAATGTTCTTTTAAATATATTAGTGTAGAGACATAGTGCACTGCACATCAAGACGAAGCTGCTGCAAGCTGGATATATTTAGTTGTTTCAGTGTTTGTGTGTGTTTGGGGATATGGGGACTTTCTGGGATGCTAAAAATCCTGCTGATTGTTTGAGGGTGTTATAGATATTAATTAACAAAACATCTGTGAGTTGACTAATGATAACTGTAATAATGCCAAATTCACACCCAGGGGATAGTTAGATTCATCTTAGAATATTTGAAACTATAAAACTACCCAACTTCACCATTTAAACATATCATATATAAACATATAGTCACCTTTAGTTTCTAAATATATACAAAACCTTTCACCGCCACTTTATCACAGCATACCAGTGTATCTTCTGTCATTTGTTCATGGTAAAAAGGACTTGAGTTTTAACAAAACCTAAATAGCTTAAATAATTAATAGTATTTCACTGTCATGCTGTAAATGTGTGTTGGTGGTTGAAAATATAGTGAAGGTTTGAGTTGTTCACCCAACTTCAGCTGTTCTGCTGCAGTTACTCCATACATTAGTTCTGCCAGCCTCCGCCAAGCAATTACTAGGTGTGTGTGTGTGTGTGTGTTTGTGTGTTTGAGCGAGAGCATGGTTATGTATATTAATTAATCAAAGCGATTATTCCCATTTCAGAACCTCAAAGTAAAAGGACCGAAAGACTCTAAAGATTGTACCACAACGATCTCAATGGAGGGTAAGTTTGTGTGTGTGTGTGTGTGTGTGTGTGTGTGTGTGTGTGTGTGTGNCCACACAACAGTGGAGAGTCAACGCTCGTCATCACACTAAATGTTCCTGGTTTCAGAAACTCCATGTGTTGATGTTATTGTCTGTGGTTGTATCCTGGACAGCAGGCAGGGCTTTAGTGTGTGTGTGTGTGTGTGTGTGTGTGTGTGTGTGTGTGTGTGTGTGAGTGAGAGAGCTGCCTTGGCCCTACCCCTTCTACTTGTGTATGCAGCGGTGGGTTTTGGGAGGCAAACTGCCGTATGGGTGAACATACACACTTTCTCTATCTCCCTCCCTCTCTTTCTCTCTCTCTCTCTCTCTCTCTCTCTCTCTCTCTCTCTCTCCCTCTCTCTCTCTCTCTCTCTCTCTCTCTCTCTCTCTCTCTCTCTCTCTCCCCCTCTCCTTGCCTCTCCGTCTCTGCCTCTCTCTCTGTGTCTCTGTCCGTCTCTGCCGAAGAAAGAAAGAAGGCAGAGAGCAGGAGAACAGAGTGAGGAGAAGAGAAGGGGGATATGGAGGTGCTCCTGGTCCTCAGACTGTGTTGTAACTGCACATACGGTAACGACTCTATGCACGCCGTTTGATTTGATTGAGGCTTCCCGATTGTTGTTGGATTGTACTGCAGGTTGTTTGTGATGTGTTTGCTGTAATTTTTAGACAGTTTTCAAAAAGCTGACAGATGTTGATGTGGGGACACTGTCATATCAGATGTATATTCAGAGTTTAATGCAGAGATTATGTAGTAGGGCTTTCTGCTTGCTGACGATTGTTGACCTGATACATTTACGTGTTGTGATATCATTTGTTTCTTCGTGAAGTGTTGGAGCTTTAGTGTGGTTGCTGAGCGATGATCCTCTGGAGTACCCTGGACAGACAAGACACCAACCGTTCAAGTCTTTAATCTTGCAGAATATATAGAGGAGGACAGTATCTCCCATCTGTGTTTAGAAGCAAGCCACGTTCAGTCTGTGTAAGGACTGGCAGCCCCAGACTGCTGCTCACAGAGAATACTTATCACCAGAGGATCGGACAAGTCTGATCCGTGTGTATTATTATCTTGGGCACTTTCGCTGTTGCTCAACTGCACCAGGTGGTAGATCTTAGGCTGCAAGAGAAAAGGGAAACTGTAAACTGTCCAGATTATGAAATGATAAGCAAACATGATGAGAAAATGATGCAGCTTTGTCAGGCTGAGTGTGTCAGCTTTCAGCAGCATGTACCTGTGAAGTTCTTCTTTGCATCGTAAATGAAGAAGACTTTAAGCCTATTCTCTTATTACAATGTACTATCCTGGACAACCATATGATATGTTTGCTTTATCATAGGTTACCATGGAAGTTATGTAGCGTGAAACCAATTTCATATTCCCTCCACAATCAGTGGATGTCAGCACCCGGAGCAATTGCTTAATAATCGCACTTCCTTAATAACCTGGCTGGGCAGCCGAGGGATTTCTCTACCTCACCTCTGAATCTTCCTCTTTCTATTCCCTCAATATTTCTTTTTATCACGCTCTCTGCCTTTCTCATCTCTACTCATCCTTCCATCATTCCTCTCTTCACTGGGATTTTACTGGACCGCAGTCAGTCAGCCAATGATGTGTGCTTTTGTGTATTTTCTTCAGTGCAATAACAGCACTGTTTACTAATCATAAAGCTTGCTGTTTTGTCTTCCTGAAACCTCCTAATTGATGGATGCAAATAGCAACGCCAGTAGGAAATCAAACAAGCGTCTTACATCCTGCTTTACATGTAAATTGGTACTCTCGCTCTCCTCCCCTTAATCCTTATGTGCCCTCTCCTTATCTGTCTTTCTGTCTCCTTTGTCTCACATCTCCTATCGCTCCCGTCTGCCCTCCTCATCCACCTTCACAGCTCCTGCCTGGCATTGGGACCTGAATGTCTTGCCAAATATTTAGGACTGAAAAGCTGGCAGTCCCTGTGTCCTAGCTGTAGACCCCTGTAGACCCCCCTACAAACTCTGTGTCTGATGTGCTTGTTCAAAGACTTCACTAACATGGTCTTTCCCCCTTGTTTGCAAAGATGAACTATCTGTACATTAGCCAAGTTGTCAAGGCGACCTTGAGAACAGGACCAATCAGAGGCACCTCGCTGTGACAGGTCATCGACTTCCAATAATCCTCCTCTCCTTGTCTGATTTTCTCTCTCTGTCTTATCATCCTCCCTCTTTCTCATCACTTTGACTGAACTTTGCTCCTTTTACATTCAGTCTTTGTATAGAAACTCAGGATTGACCCTGCATTCGTGCTGCAAGACACTTGTTGATACACATTAAAGGGATGGTTCATTGAAAATTCAAAATTCACTCATCATCTATTCACCGCTATGCAAATGGAGGGGTGGGTGATTGAGTCCACAAAACACTTTAGGAGTTTCAGGGGTAAACAGTGTTTCAGCAAAGGTGACCTCTTCTTCAGACGTAATAAAACAACTTAAAAAGACACAACATGCCTCCATACTGTTCATGTGGTGTCATCCAAGTGTCCGTAAGCCCCAACATTCCAATTCGACTCGAATTGAGGTCATTTACACCAAGTTTTAAGCCTGAAAGTCCACTACTGGAAGCGGCGATGCTAGCAGAGATAGCCACACCCCCCAACGCGTTCCCTTTGGCGAGAGGGTGTGTGGGTTTCCAGTGTGCTCGTGCGTTCGTGAATCAGAGGACATTTAGGTTTAAAACTTGCAGTAAATGAAACTGTTTCGAGTTGAATATGAATGCTGTGGCTTGTTGACACTTGGATGACACTACACGAGCAGTATGGAGGCATGTTGTGTTTTTTCTGTTTTTATTACCTGATGAAGAAGAGGTCAAAAAAACACACACACACAGGACGTAACATTTATCTTGCTAAAGCATAGTTATGTAGATGCTCTATATAAGGTTGTTGTATGAAGTAGAGGCTTCTCGCCTCCAGAGGTTTTTGAGGGCCAAGACTATGGTGGTCCCGAGCCTTCTGAACCACTAACAAAGATGGCCAGTGCTGAGACAGTTGAGAATAAACTATGTCTGCAGGAGCACGATGGTGCGAGCTGTTCTGTCAGCTGGCACAGACAGCTGTCTCAGCCAGTGGTTCAAGCGCTTTGTATGTGACACAGTCAGCAGAGGGACAGGGGACATCTCTGAATTGTAGTTTTAGGGTTTAGTTTCAGCATCGATTTAAAAATAAGTGCAACTTTCTAGAGTCCTACCTGCTATGGCTAAAACCCCATTTCCAAATCAAACTAAGGTGCAACGATACTAGGTAGGACATGAATAATCAATACAGCTCATGCACTGACTACTAACAACTGACGTCCTTGCAGAAGACGTAGTTACATGTACTGTTCTGACATCTGATACTTGTTTTCTACCCTCCAGTCCCCTAAACATCCCTAAAGAACCTTTACTTGAGGGGAATACAAAGCTACACTCACATCCACACATAATTAGATGGTGTTCACTGCCCTTGCAGTCAGTGCAGGTCCTGCAGTAAATCCTCCAAGGGTAGCAGAATTAGTTCACTGAGCGAGGATCATTGATGGAGGCCGCATTATTAATGACCAGAGGGTGGAGAAGCTTCAAAGTGCATCAGCAAGGTCCTTTGGTAGATTCTCTTTGGTCTCATAGTTGTTGGCGGGTTGGCACAGTATATATATATATATATATATATATATATATATATCCATATGAGTGTATATCCATATGGGTGTATATGGTGTGTGAGTTGGAATATGACAGGCTCATGTTCTCTGTCTTTCACTTTGATGGAGAAGAAAGGAGAATTAACATATAAAAGTGAGATTACAGAAAGACGAGGAGAGGAGAGAGGCACTGGAACGTAACATTCATGGTGTGCAACTGAAGTGAGCAGTGTTCAATGGTACAGATAAGTGTAACATTCAAGTTGAAGTTTAGCTGGTTTCTACCTCTCTGTGGGAGCAGAGCACTGATTGCCTGAGACGACCTGTGCCGCATACTGAAGGCACATCCCTTTTTTCTGTTCCAGTGTGCAAGCTTTTGTTCACTTTGGTTTGAAAATCAGCTGCTTTAAGTCTGCACTATAATAAATGGAGACTAGCTTGATCACTGAGTGAAATCATACGTACTTATAGATCACGTTTGATGTTATGGTTACCCTCACTTTCTCTCATTTTTAGCATACGTGTAGGTTAGCATGCCATTATTATTCTTTTTCCATTGTGTTCCTGCAATGCCTTGTGTCATTGGTGGCATTATTAACCTGCTGTTATTATTTTGAGACCTTGAGATATTTTTGGCATTTCATCACTTAATTGCCGGAACCCATTCTGACAAGAGATCCAGAATAACCACCAATCAACTCCCACCTCCAGCCGCCCCTTACATCTTCTGCATCTATATGAGTCTGCCTCTTATCTCCTCAGGGGTTCTGGCGTCATATATCTCTCCCCTTGTCATTTTTTTCCCTCTCCATTTCTCACCTAGAGCTGTCATGTATGGCAGACCTGCTGCTGTTCACACTAACTCTACAGCAAAGCCGTCCCAGGGGGAAACCAGACAAGTGTGGTGGTGTGGTGCAGACTTAAACTGTTATTAGAGACAGGAATGGTGGGGTGTGGGCACGTGTCGGTTTTATTGCACTTTTTATAAAGTAAATCAATTACATTTCTGCTGTTTATGTTGTTTGTGTCTGCCGTGTGTCCCGCTGGGCTGTAGTTTACCTAGTAGCAGCCTAAATGCACTGGACTAGAACTGTTAAGGAACCAATGGGAGGCTGCTGCATCAACCCTGGAGATGGACTGCATGTTAAGCAGTCTGCCTAAAGAGTGTGTGTGTGTGTGTGTGTGTGTGTGTGTGTGCGTGCGCGTGCGCGTGTGTGTATGTTTGTTTTTGTGTGTGTGTGTGTGTGTCTATCCCTTCCTTGTGCAGTAACAAACTGCAGCATCTCCAGTCTACAGAGCATCACACAAACAGTCAGATTTTTTTTGTTAACAATCTGTGGAGATGGAAAGTGTCACTTCACAGGCAGGTCAGAGGTTGCTGCCAGCTAGATGTCTTGCTAAAGGATAACTCAGCAGTGTGGATGCTTGCCATCATTTGGTTGAATGTCAAACTAAGAATCGTCATCATCAGTCAGACTATAAGTGCTGTGTTTAACTCAGTGTGAGCTGAGTGGGAGTGTTTGTTCTCAATCATGTTGTTGAATTGTGACCCCCCCCCCCAACGTGTGAATGTCTGTGTGTGTGTTTTGACGTGTGTGTGCGTCTGTGTGTATCCATGTTTCTGTGCGTGTGTGTGTTAGTGTTACTGACTCAGAGCCCTGCTCTTCTCTCTCCGCAGCTCTCCTTTACAAACCGATTGACCGTGTCACCAGAAGCACCCTGGTCCTTCATGTGAGTACACAACTTGTACTAAATGTTCTTTAAGGATCTTAGACAACATCCATAGAGGTAGTAAGTAAATATGGGCCCTTTCATATTTTGGTGAACTGACCCTTTAACTGCTTCACACTCAAATAAACAGAGGTGTGTCTCAAATCAGATACTTCAGTTAGTACAGTCACACATACTACACTGTGCACACAGTGTACTCACTCAGTGCTTACATTTCAAAGGATAGTGTTGTTCCAAACCCAACACTTCACTGGAAATGTTAGTGTGTGTGTGACCAGGGTTGTTGCTCACTTTGCTCACGTGACTTGAACGTTGTACTTGCCTGTGCTTGCCCCTGCATCATGCGACATGAGAATTAAGCCGCCATCTGCTCCTTCCTCACTCGCCATTTTCATAAACTTGACAATATGTTGGTGGTTCCCTCTCATCTGCTACATAGCAAAGATGGTGACCTTTGAGAGTGAGAGGTGTGCATCATTTTACACTAACTTTTTGACTGTATTAAAGATGAATTTTGATTATTTTTAACCTGGCTACGAGTAAAATAATTGGAATTGGTCCAGTAGATCGCCTTCACCGGCAGTTTTTCCACCAATAAAAGGTGGAAATAGTCTGACAGCATTTCTTGCTTATCAAGAGGTCTCACTTATTGCTCAACCATTTGAGACTTTTAGTGGCCATTTCATGGACTTTCACCTGTTGCCCCTCAGGATTACATTGTAGCCATTATTTCCAGTGGAGACGATCTGTTCCAATTCATTGACAAAACCAAACCACATTAACAATAGGGCCCAGGTTGAAACATTACTTTTAAGTGCACCATCTGGGTGATCATAGTGCAGTATTGCTGTGCTTGAGTACTTGACTTCAATAAAGAATGCACTTTGGCTCAAAATTGCAAGTGTGAGTATGGAAGTATGTAAATTGAATTTAAAAGGTACAGTAAAGCCACTCTGCTGACGCTCTTCATTCTTCACAGCAAATCCACCCTTGAGGGTAAAATGTTATCACTCATGCATCTTCAATCAGTCGAGTGCTGAGAAGTCAAAATCTGCTTCTTGTTGTTTATCTCAGTGTCTTCTCAGTTTAAAGCTACCTCTTTGCACGATTAAAAGTAAAGCGGAAACAGTCACTCAAGTGAACAGCCTGAATATGTCAGTTACAGGAGTTTATAGCATGAATACTGTAAGTTTGCATAAAGCTGTCAGAAAAACAACATGTACAGTGCATCCAAGGCTTGTGTGTGTTTCTACCAAGGTCATGTTCCTGTCATTCATGCAAACTAAGAGGCGGTAAAAAAAGATTGGCAGAGTTAATTTTTCTAGGAAGACAGAAGCTTGAGACTCTCAAGTCGACAATCCCGTTCATCACCTTGTTACACTGATGAAAGCAGCTCCGACAGAAGCAGGGAAATTAGGCTCTCAGATGTCACTGCAGTTTTCAGGAACAGTGTATTTACAGCGTAATCCTCAAACATCTTATTCCACTACTCAGGCCCAAATGCACAGGTTTAGTAGTTGTTGATAAAGATATTTTTACATTATTGCAGCATTAAGTGGTATGTATCATAGCACAGACTGTAAGTGAGTGTGTCGTGTTACCTGTGTTTCAGGACTTGCTAAAACATACTCCAAAGGACCACCCAGACTTCCCCCTCCTGCAGGACGCCCTGCGGATATCTCAGAACTTCCTGTCCTCCATCAACGAGGAGATTGACCCTCGCAGGACTGCTGTCACCACACCTAAGGGAGAGGTGTGTGTCTGTGTGTGTGTGTGTGTCCTTATGTGTCTGTGTGTGTGTATTTGTGTGTCTGTGTGTAATGCTGAATCACATCATCAAGTATGAATCGTAAATGGCCTTTTAATTGCCTACTAATAACTAGGCTCCATATACTGTAATTAATATACAGTAATGGCAGTTGTTTCCAATTTTGTATTTTCCCATTACTCCATGGTTTTTCCCTTTTTAGTCGACACAGCAAAAACTAAGTCTAATGAAGGGATAATGGATTAGAGACGGACCATGGATGGAGCAAACAGCTCCATCCAGAGAAAGCAGCCAGTGTTTATACACTGTGTGCTCACTTTGCCTGAGGTCTATTTTACAATAGTTCATATTTTCATGTCCGTCCTCCTCACTCTGTTCTGTCAAATGTTGCTGAAGCTCAACGCTCTTTGATCAGTGCTGTCGGGTCAAGTTTGTCAGCATTGTGTTTGTGGCACAACAAGACCTGACATCCGTTGTTCTCTTAGGCTCGTCAGCTGGTGAAGGATGGCTTCCTGGTGGAGGTGTCGGAAAGCTCGAGGAAGCTACGGCACGTCTTCCTCTTCACCGACCTGCTGCTCTGTGCCAAGATGAAGAAGACGGCTGTGGGGTGAGTGCACTTAACTTTTTTTCTCCTCTCCATCCAAAACATAAAAAATGTGTTAACCACAGAGGCAACAAATGCATACTATTAGGTTTATTCTCCCATCGCTCCCATCCGTATGTATCATTCACTTTCCACATTAGCAATGCAGCCCCCGACAGTGAACCAGAAAAAATGACATGGGCACTTTGCAAATGATCCTGTGAGTCTTTCTTTTCCTGGATCTGTAGAGCTGGAGGACTATTTGAAGCCTCTGTAAGAGAGAAAGAAAAGAAAGAAAAGTGTTTACGTTTAATGATGCCACGTGTAAAGATTAAGACAGGTCTATAGTTCAGCTGTCACATTGTACGTGGTGGTGTGTCGCTATGCTTGTCAGCATGGCAGCTTGTGTGAGCCTAATTGGATTTTATTCTGGCTGACAATCAACAGTTGTCCGTCATTCACAGCCATCACTTGAGAAACTCAATCACCTTAGGGTCACTGATGTTCCTTAATAACATTGAATCCTATGATAATTATATTATCTTTCTACAATATTGGGTATTTTAATCTGCAACAATGCATCATATGCTATTAACTGATTTCCTCCTCATATGATCACATTGTATGAAAACTACAGATAAAAGTGTGGAAGTAGCTTGTTGCTTTATGTGGAATTACTTTCATTAACTAAATGAATAGACTGAAAATCGATCATTTTTCAAACTAAGGTCGTCTCTCAAACTTTAAAATGTAAAGTATGATTCTATGACTAGTTTAGTTTCATATCGTCCTCGCTCTTTATGGTTTCGACATTATCCCCCCCAATCTGCAGTCGACACCAGCAGTATGAGTGCAAGTGGTACATCCCTCTGGCGGACTTGACTTTCCAGACCTTGGACGAATCAGACTCTTGCCCCAGCATCCAGGTCCTGCCCGAGCACGAGCTGGAGGAGATGAAGATCAAGATCTCGGTCTTAAAGAATGAGATCCAGAAAGAGAAGGTAATCCTGCTAGATTTCATTGGCCCAAAGGGCAAAATGTATTTGAATGGCTTTGAATGGCCTAGTAGGAAAGAGTGGATTTAACACTGGAACATGGATTGAAACCACTTTTATGTGTTTTAATACAAAAAGGCAGAAAGTGGAAAAGTGGAACATGTATGCTTAGAAAAATGTCTTTGTCTGACATAGTTTGAAAACAGAATGAGTTTAGAATGTTCGAGCAGGAGCCATTAAACAAAAAAGAAAGTGGCACACCGTGCTCACACTGCACAAGGACTGGATTATCTACTGGATTGGCAAACCATATTTGTGTATGTAATCTATAAACCTATGTGTGCGAAGGCCTCTTAGATTAATACAGTTACACTGTGGTCAGAAAAACATCCCTGAGTGATGGTCCATGAAACATTTGGTACCAGGGTAACAGGGTTTATGAGAATCAGTTTAAAATTAGTGCAGGAAACCCTTGATCTGTTATGATTATAAGAAACACAAAAACGTAGATGTGACTCAGCACAGGAAGTTTGTCTTCTTGTGTCTCATAAAACTTTGATAGAGACCTATTATTTATTTTATTTCTTTATTTATTATTTCTCATAGTACGTACAGAGTTCCATGGAAGACTCCCCATTTCAGTGTTCACTGACTGGAACCTCTGCACCTTCCTGTTAACTCTGCCACCCACACCTTTGTTTGTCTAAGACAGCATCAAGGTTAAGGTTCAATGTGCCCTGAAGGGAAGAACAGCAAATTAAAAACACAGCCAAAAAAGAGAACCAGACATTTCTGATTCTTTAATTTGGGGTAAAACATTCATCGCAAAACCTTTGATGTACTGTTTACAAAAGTAAGAAAATTCCTCCCTCCTTATCTGGAATAGTGTATTTGCAGCACTGATCAAAGTGCTGATTCACACTTCCTCCTGAAAGGGTTTGGCCCTCATGTCAGACATGTTTATTCCCATAGGTGCTGAAACATTCAGTTGTTGACATAGGTTGAAAAAAATAAGATGTTTTAAGCCTCCTGCAGTTACTAATATGTGTAACACTTCACCCCCGCACCCCCTGAGACACAGCAGAACCTTCAGAAGAGGAGAGTTCCTGTTTTTCTCCTCTCGCTGTGTTAAACTCGCCCACTCAGGGCACAGTGAGTGACCACTCACCACTCAGTGAGTGGCTGGTATTTAGAGTCAGAGGAGGCTGGACCAGTGGGAAATTCAGCTGATTGTGTCCAGACTCTGACTCATGGCTTCCTGGTAAGGGTATGAAGGATGTGTGTATTTGTTTTCCCTCAGGACTCACACAGAACTAAGGTCCTTGAATTAAAGAATCTTCAGCATCAACCCACAATTTCAGGAGTTCATCAATGGTCTTTTTTTGGTCTTATTTTGAAAAGCTGATCTCTTGCTGATAAGAACTTGAAAATAGAATGACTGACAATTGTATCTGATGGTTTAGTTATGATCAGTCATTGAAATAACATTTTTTTACATCAGTGTTGGCAACCAGAAAGTGTGGAATGTATGGATGCACAAATATTTGATTTACATCGCAATCACTTTTCAGTTTGCTATTATTATTTGAGATAATTATGACTGGAGCAAAAGTAATATAGATATAAAAAGCAAGTGATTGAAAAGAGCAATCTTCTCTGTGAATCAGTTTTCATATACTAGATTTGAATTATACTGTATTTTGCTGTAAGAAGCTTCCCTATTTGAGCTTATACCACTTAAAACTCAAATGTTTGCTTTCTTCTGTATTTTAATGGAAAAATCAAGTCATTTTAAATATAATGTAATTTCAGTTGATGTTTGGATTTTGTTTTTTTTATTGTCTAGATAAATTTTTTAAACCAGCATTTAAAAAACCAATCATTTATTACAATTACAGTGATATCAAGAGAGAAAAAAAATCTTATGAATATTTTAGAGGAGACTGCCATTGTTTCAGGAATCAAACAATGTTGATGTGACATAATGAGCCTTTGGAAAATGTTGACATTGCAACAGTAACAATCTTTCAATATGTAATTTACTTCTTTCTGGAGATAACCATGTTTAAAATGTTTAAACTATGGTTCCTATAATTTGGGCAGATTTATGTGGGATGTATAATTCTGCCCTGGAGAATAATCTCTGTGCTTGTACTTAAACCTTTTCTTTTATGCTACATTTGTTTACATTTTGCAATAGACATCAGGGTTAATCCTAGTATGTATGTCTCTCTCTAACACTACATTTAATATAATACTCCACTCTAAAGTAAATTCTATATGTCGCTCTGTTTGTCTCTGCGCCTGTACAGAAAGCACCAAAGGGTCAGAGTCGTGTGGAACGTCTGAGGAAGAAGATGAACGAGCAGGAGTCATGGCTGCTCATGCACTCCCCCACCATCCCATTCCGCATCCACAACAAACATGGAAAGGTGAGTCAATCCTCCTCATCCCATCACTCTCTGAATGTATGCATCTAGTCCTCCCACTAGAGGGAGACATCAACCTTTGTGACAGAGGAGCTATAGCTTAGCTTCCAAGTATCCCAAAATAAATGTCTTATGACAGTGTGACCAGACCAGAGCTTTTCAGTAGTTTTGAGATTAGCTGGACATTTCCACTTTGAATGTTTTACAGTGATAACTTCAGTGCAGCGATGTCCTTGCTGTATTTAATAGTATTTTCTGTGTTTGTAGAGCTACCTGTTCCTCCTCTCCTCCGACTACGAGAGGTCAGAGTGGAGGGAAAGCATCCAGAAACTCCAGAAGAAAGGTAACACTGGCCTTGAGTGGAGTTGGTCTATTGACTGTTTCTGCATGAAGTGGATTAAAACCATTTTATGTATTGCACCAGAGAAAAATGAAAGTTTGACCATCGGCGTGCGTGTTTTCCAGATCTCCAAACGTGTGTATTAAGTTCCGTTGAGCTTCAGGTCCTGACCAGCTCCTGTTTCAAGCTCCGCACTGTCCACAACATTCCTGTCACCAGCAACAAAGATGGTGAGAAACACTCGCACACATTATCTGTTTGATTCTCTCATGTTTGAATGCTTTGTGCGTTTCTGCAATCTCAAACACACACAGTCTCCCTCTGCTCCTTCCTCTCCTTTCTGCTTTGAGTTTAAATTCACACAAAAGCATCTCTTATATTTTCACCACAAAAAAACCACATAATGAGCGAGGGGGGGCCTTGCAGGAGAGGAATCTAGGTTACAATATGTTTCTCATCTAGCTTGTAGTCAGTGCCATGCGGTGTGTCGGTGGTGGCCCTGCATTCCCAAATCATGTGAGTTTGCATTCGCTCCAGATCTCCACAGCGGCTTTCAGAGGCTGGTGGTGACATTAAAGCCATCTGGTCGACCCACTCCCATCTCCTCAAACGGCACAAAGAGTCTCCTGCTTACACACACACACACACACACACACACACATACTACTACAGAGGTGACAGTTGACTCTCAGTAATTAATGATCATAGGGATGCTTGATTTTTCCTTTAACATTCTGATGAACTTTGGAGTTAACAAGGTAAATTGTTGTGGTGTTTTTGCACCGAACTTCCCAGAAGTCTGTTGCCAGTTGAACAGTGAATCCACTGTGGTAAAATTTTCGTTTTGCTTAAGGGAACTTGTCACTTTTTGTCTGTTTTAAGAAAATATACTTGCAACAAATGGTATACACATAAAATATTTGTTTTTAAACATTGATTTTCTCAAAAAACCATCTAATCATTTTAAAAGCATGATTGATTATATTTTCACCTTTTTCTGTCTGTTTGTGTGTCTGTATGCAAGTTAACACAAAAACAACTAAATGTATTGCCACAAAACAGCGTTATCTGCTTTGACCCCGTCCAGGAGGTTTTTACTCACGTTAACTCTCTGCTAACTTGATTAAACTCTCGCCTCTCTGCTGTGTCAGAGGTCCATCACTTTGTTGATACTTTTCTTTTTTTGTCAGGGAGTTGATATCCTTGTGTGATAAAAGAAAGCTCAGGCCCCACGGCTTTTGAACCCCCCCCATTATAAATCAAACAAATACACGCAAACACACACACACACGGAAACAGTAGGGGTTGAAATGGAGACCAGCTGGCAAAGGAATTTTTTGTACAAGGACGGATGGTTTGCAGAGAGTGTGAAATATTTGCACGTTCATTTGACTCCTTTGATTGAATCATCATGAATTATCACATGTTCGTTAATTGTTTTCCCTGGGTTTCCTCAGTTTATTGTTCCAGTAAGATTATGACTGAAAGAGAAGTTTTCGCTCTAAAAGCACTGCACATAGGCCACCTCGAAGCTGAACCTTTGAACCGTCTCCCTGTGAAGCCCCCCTGTCGCTTATGTACTACACACGTACGCACGCACGCACGCATGCACACAAACAGAGTCAACCCCCGGGACTGAGCGCTCTCTTCTCAGCAGCCTACAGTAGACCCCCATACAGTCCCGCAGCCCTCACGTGTAGTTTATTTACCTGGAAACAGTTGGGCTACACAGGCTTCAAGCAAAGCAAAGTGTATCCCTCTGCATGTGTGTGTCGGCGGGACAGAGGGATATGTCGGGCCACCCAAAAAACATCCACCCACCAGCCACCACTCAGCGGCCAGCTCGGTTGTTATGGCAGAGGACTGTGCTTGTTGATGTGAGGTCTGACATTGATGTGACGAAAGGTTGCAACAACAATTCATTCTCTCTCAAAATCTTTTTTATTTTCTCGTTTCATTCTTCAGCTGCATTCCTTCCTTTTTGATTTTTGTTTTTATGTGTCGCTTTTTAGTCATAAAGCAGTAACTGGGTGTTGAAATGGTGAGAACAGTTGTTTTAGTGGAAGTTAATAATGATAAGTTTATCCACAGCTTGGACCACCCAACCAGAGAGAAATGAAAAGCCCACCTGCTTCCCACTGAGCAATTTGACTTGATTCTTCATTTTAAGACGTCCAAATGGTTGTAGACCTTGAGGGGGAAATTAGAACACAGAGTTTGAGAGTGAAAGTTAGAGAAGTTTGTCATGTAAGCACATTTTCATACAAGTGTTCCAGGTAGGATTCACCAAAGCAGATGGAAACAAAACAAATATCACAGGGTGTGTCAATAGCTGCATTTTAGAATATTAATTCAGCTGCTAATGAAGTGTCACAGAAATGTAAACTTAGAAAATCTTCTTTCTAATGCAAAATGGTGCACGGTGGACAAAGGGATGTGAGGATGTCAGACAGAAGAAAACAGTGAAGTGATGTGACTCTGTTAGATTCAAGTGACAGAGATCACTGGACATCGACCTGCACACACGACCCTGAGGCAGTCCCATGACTGCACTGTCTAAGATGCTGTGTTAGAGTAATGCCAATACCATTCATAAAGTCGACGAATTGACAAGCCATGATGAGGAACTGGGGAACGGAACATTTTAGTCAATTTCAGTATCAGACACATCAAAATTCACTTGAATTGAACCTGAAGTACTTGACAGACTGTACACAGCTTTTGAGGCAGTTCTGCATGAATCAAGTATGAGAAAATCCCTGGAACATGCAACTTCAGATTTATGTGTTTGTGCGAGGCCAGTGTCTTGAAGGAATGCCTGAAATATATGAAGACAGCGCAGTGAAGCCCATTTATTTTTTCCTGTCAATGAATCTTATCTCTCCTCTGCACAACATTGATACAGTCTAGTGTGTCATAAGTTTCCGTGCTTTATCCTAGTGCTGTAAACAAACTTAAATTCTGAATGACTAAACTCACTACGTCACCATAGTTACAGATGGAACCGCACCAACTGCTCTGTGTGTTTGTTTTCCAGATGAGGAGACTCCTGGCCTGTACGGCTTTCTGCACGTGATCGTCCACTCCGCCAAAGGATTCAAGGAGTCAGCCAGTAAGTTGGCCAGAGACCCGCATTGTTTTCTGCTTTACCCCACTTGTCTGCACACTCTTGCTGAGCAGCCCCTCCACACATAACTGCTGCGCATGTCTGTATCTGCCAGGAAAAGATCCAGTCAATCACTGCAGCCTGTCCATCATGCTGCAAGCCAATACAGAGATGGTCGTATGGACTGAGAAAGAGAACACAATGGAATTTATTTGTGAATTCATTTAACAAGGACTTCATCTGTCATTTGTCTTGCATCACAACAGCAGTATAAATACAATTTAAAAAAAAATCATAAACAAAGGATACATTCATGTAACATCACATACATCCACAAACGATCCTTTGTAGAACAATGTGTTCTGTGTGTCAATAATGTGTTTTAACAGCTCCGTGTGTATGTGAGTGTGTGTGTTATCAACCCAGTGGAATGTTGGCAGGACCAACATCGCACTCAGTTGACAACACACACATTATTTCAGACGTGTCAGTAGTGGACAGCTGGCGCACCGGTACACTTTGTGCTGCGATGTTACACAAGCACCAGTTCAAATATCAAATATCTGGAAAAGTGACAGCGAGGGAGAAATATGATTTCCTCAGTTACCATGACAGCCCCCAGTATATGAAAGCAGGCACGCTAAAATTTCCTGGGTAATGGATTGGAAAGCTCTCTCCTCTGAAAGCCTGTTTGATCCCCGATGGAGCGCAGAGAGCTGAGGGGTTTAACCATGAAGAAATGTGTGTGTGTGTGGAGGGGAGTTGGGTAGTTTGCCTGATACAGTTTGAAGTCTTTGTGCCCAGTGGAGCGTACAGAGCCAAGGTGGGGCATGCAAGCCATGGAGGCTGGAGTAGATGGCATGTTGCTGTTGTAAGTGATCCTTGATGATGATGATGATGATGACAGCCATTAAAGACGTGTTGTTACTCTTAATGGGGCTCCAAAATTATTAACCATCATGGTTGGGGTGAAAGCACTGAAGAACAAAGAACAGGCTACACTTTGCAAAAAATGCAACTGATACATACCTTCCCCCACTGAACCTCTCTTTAAAGCTACGCTCCCAAAACAAAATAACACTCGGTGCCTGACAACTGCTAGAAGACGACTTTTCCATGACTCGCTCGCTAACTTCTGGCTATCGCCGTTGCTCCAGCGGTGTGTGTCTCTCCTGCTGAAGACTCTGGTCGTGTGCTGTTAGTGACAGCAAATCATTTCACAGTGTCTGAATGAAATGATCGGTCATGTTTATTACAGTTCTGCAAGGGCCACAAACACCAGCTCTTTTTTTTTTGACAACTTTATTTATTGAAAGCTATCGATACGTGAATAGGTTTGTTGCAGATAAAAAGTGTTTAGGAAGCAAATTACTGCCTTTAATGGTCTGTGACAGCATATTGTTATGCCTTTAGACCCTATGAAACCTGGCCTGTGTTAAGAAAACCACCCAGTGGTCATGAAGAAGATCTGAATACTTTGTGTTTTGTCTTTATAATTCCCTCCACCACCACCACCACCACAATTTCTCACAGATGTAGCTCAATGATTAGTTTTCATGTGGTGATGTTTTGTAATTCAGCCTCTGTGTTTTTGAGGTTTGATGGGTTTTAGTAACATTGTTGACGTCTCCTTCACTGTACATTCTGTACATTTTTAATTATTAGCCCATCAAGATCGTTTCTGTAACGACTGGAACGATTTCTTGATCCAGTGTTTCAGATTGTTGAACAGATGTGTGATCATCGACAATGACCTCTTTGTTCATTGCTTTCATTGAAAAATCCCATAAGCTTGTACTAGAAGATCTTACTGGAATTATTGTGTTATTTCCCTTTAGTGGGAAAAGACTCAGTATTCAGCCCGGGGCAAAGTTGTCAAACTGGGTCATAGCAGAAGGAGCATGGGGTTGAGCATCTCCCCCCAAAAAAAAGAAATCAGTGGAAAACATGACCTAGTAGAGAAACATGTTGCTTTGTTCTTGTTTTATTTTTACGTGTGAGTGAGTGTCAGCCAGTGATCCTGTGTTGTTCCCTCTATATGTTTTGAACCGCTGCTGCAACTTGATGCTGTCAAAGTGAAGCTGCTGCGCTACGTAGAAACAGTGAGCACAGATCCAAACTGAACTGCCACACTTCTCTGCTACAAAATCTCAGACATTTGAAGAGAGCCCAGCTGCTTTCCTGTGTGTCAGCCACATGAGCTCGTTGAGCAACATCTGAAGAGGTTTTTACTGAATTTATATCTGATATGTGTCAAAGTAATAATTAAGTAGCAGTGCAGATACTAAAGGACAATAGAAAATTATTTAATAGCGATAGTGATGCTTTTTTCTTTATTTAAAACAAACTTTTTTTTCCCTCACTGGTCCCTTTCAGATTAAAGGTAAACCACACCTTACCCTTGATTTCTGTTTTTAATCAATCCAGTCACAACTGCATGCGTTGTTTGCCATATTTCTAGTCTTCTCTCTCTGGTTTTCATGAAACCAATTCAGTTGCATCCTGATTTCATTCTCTGAGAAGAATGTTTTTATTTTCTCCTGAGGCCTTCAAGCCTCAGGTTGGTGGTTGTTGAGACGACTGATTAGTTTTAACTGATTATCACTTGCCTCCTAATTCTGTGAACCTGCAGTTTGACCCAGCATTCACCACAGCCCCGGGCAAAGATTAGCTTTGGGTATAAGATCACAGACACATTACAGGGGCTGCAGTCCTCAGCTAATTGTGGTGGAAAAGGATGGTATTCATTAACCCGTAAATCTAGGGGTCACAGGCCCCAAGCTGACCAAGTAATCCCCCCTCATACTCTAGTAGTGACCTGCAGGGAGAATAGTAAAAAAAATATATAGGGTTTGGCCTCTTTTAGTCTGTCCTACTTACCAAAGACCTCCTGGATCCACTGCAAGGACACAAAAAGACCTCTCCTGTGTCTGGCCTTTTTTGAGTTTTCAGTCTGGACACATAAACCCCTTTCACATGAAGAGAAAATCAACTTCCTAAGAGAAATCTCAGAGCTGACCAGGACTATGAATACCTCTACTCATGGCTAGATGAGAAAGAGAGGTCTAGTGTCTAAAACTAAAGACCTATCTACCTTTAAATAATCAAACTTCTGTTTGTAGTCCTGAAAAGTGACTGAAACGCAACTTTGTCCCTCACAACAAACCGACTGCATTAGCCTTGATACACCATCTCCTCGCTGAAGCAAACTCTTGACAAGTGGTTTGTGTGTTTTTGAGGTGTCGGATGTCGAACCAGAGGTTGCTGTAACAAGCTGTTACGCTTCTGCAGCGTAAGAGTAGGATAACTGCTACGTTTAATAAATATCCCCCAGATGGTCACAGTGAATTCCCCTCGGCTGAACTTCCTTCATACCACCACTGCTAATCTCTTCCTCATTGGGAGTAATTATGCCCGAACCTCTCAGGATGCCGAGAAAACAAACATAGAGGGAATGAAACCAGACGGAATGAGGTTCCGTTATACATTGTAACCGTTTTAGTCATAAATGTACAGCTGCATATGTCAATGTTGTCTCTTGACGGTCACTGCTCACGCTGGGTGGTTGATTGGTATCCTTCCACAACGGTAACCAGGCTCAGGTCAGGCTGTTGTTTTTGATGTTCCAGCGTAAACATGACATGCGTCACTCTTTAAGTGTGTTTTTATATATATGTATATGAGATTCAGCCAACTCCCCTGATTCTCTTGCCCAATCTTGTTGACTCTCCTGGTGAAAGGTCAAGTCGAACACCCATCCATCACTCTGTCAGGCGGAGGTGCACTCGAGGGACCAGAGCAAGGCTGCAGGACGAACTACAGACACATAACAGACAGCTGGTAGCTCAGTCTGTAGGAACAGCTACAACATTTAAAGAAACACATTACCAGACTTAATTGCTCCGTGTAATAGCCGAGCACGAGCAGATCTCAGGGGAGTGTCGATGCTGGTATGAGGATGTAAAGAGTGGAGGGGGAGCAGCGGTGCAGAATGTGTGCACAGACAAACAACATATTGACATTTTGAGGGGCTGTTTGATTTTGGATGGAACATGAGCCTTTTTCATCGTGTAGGTGGACATTTGTTCCAAATCTAAATTAGATATTTAGTCACTTTCAGTCGTCATGAAAACTTTGTTTAAAACCTCTTTGAAAAATGGTTTAAGTATGGATGTTACTTGGTGAGAGCATACCTCGGCCCAGGCTGATCTGCGGTTATCAATGCTTTGGATGTACATGTATTGACATCAGATGCATTTGGATACACAACACATTTCAACTGTCCTTAGTTTTTAGCCCTGTTAATCAATTCTGCTGCAAAAGTTAATGGGTTCTTTCTTGGCCTATACACCACCCTTCTACCAAGTTTGAATAAAATCAGTTCAGTGGGTCAGTAGTTTTCACCTAATCCAGATAAACAGACAGACAGCAATGAAAGCATAAGACTCCGGTGAAATATTTAATGCTGCAAGTTTTCATTAAGCTTTTGCAAACGCTGCAACAATAAAGTACCTTTGTTCATGTTCTGCACAGTGACTTTACAAGATACACTAGAACAGAGCTGAAGGGAACTAATCAATAAGTTGATTGATGGAAAAATCATTGGGAATGATTTTGACTATTGAAAAGTAAAGAAAACAAAAAGTGAAGGAAAAAAAACTGCAAGAAAAGCACAAAAATGTTCTTTGGTTAACTGAGAAAAGTAGATTGTTTAATAATGAAAATAATTGCAAGTCACAGCTTTATGTGAGTGTTACATAATACAACATGACTTAACAGCAGAAAGACTCAATTACAATAAAAACTATTGGTGTCTAATTATTCTGACCTTTTAATGAAAAGATTGTATCGTCATGTTGTGATGTCATTACGCCCTAAACATCTGTTTTAACAACTCTAACAACTATAATGGCTGCATTTTTACCAGATGGTAAAAAAAGATCTGTCAAGAAATCCTAATATTTATTCAGCCTTCAGTTTTGAAACGGCACTTTGTTACTGTTGTTTCATGTCAGTATCTAATGGACGTGTCCACCTTCTGTGTTTCCTTTAGATTTGTACTGCACCCTTGAAGTGGACTCGTACGGATACTTTGTCAGCAAGGCCAAGACCCGAGTCTTCAGAGACACCACAGACCCACAGTGGAATGAAGTCCGTAAAATATCTCCTTTTACCGCACATTGCTAGCAATGAAAGTTAAATATTTAATTCTCCCCTCCTGTGACATCCTACAGGAGTTTGAAATCGAGCTGGAGGGCTCCCAACACCTGAGGATCCTGTGTTACGAGAAGTGTTATGACAAAAGCATGCTCAACAAGGACGACAACGAGATTGTGGACAAGATGATGGGAAAAGGAAAGGTCCAGGTAAGAAGAGGACAAACGAATGATGACCTTTTACACAAAAAGAGACGTCTTTGTCATCTCGGGGGAGATTTCCCAACATGTGACTCATTAGCTGTCTAGCCTCTGTGCACAATATGTTGGTTTTGTTATCGTGGCCCCTAATGACGCTGGTTGGTTTAATAGTCTGAAGAGAGTTTATTTAAGGGGGGTTTCCCCTGTGTTGTTGTGAGAAATCTCATAAAAATCCCTTTCAGAGACTTGTTAATGAGAAGCTGCCTTCACAGTGGAATCTGTGGTCTGTATCGTTGTTTAGGTTTTAAAGAGCAGCCTGCAGAGGAGTCATGTTTCCATTTTTCCAGAGCTTCTTAGGAAAATTGTTTTAGTCAAGTGAAGCTTGACTCCTGTCATTTTCCTGCAATTCAGTCAAATTGCTGCTACACTAAACACTTCCCCTTCTGTAGCCTGGTGATCAGTAGATCTTCACTTTTTGCATTAGAGTCAATTCTGAGGGTTTTAGTTGTTCAACTAACGTCCTCATGTTTAACTCAGGAGATGGAGATGCACGTGTCAGGGCTGCAGAGGAGCTCGTCGCAGGTTATTTATAACCAGCTCCTGACACTTTTTAGCTCTCTGAATTTTTCAGACGAAATAAACCAGTTAAAATATTTCACAGTGTGTTTGTTGCCGCTGCTCATAGCTGGTAAATTCGGGTATCAGTGACAAGCTGCAGTTTGAATACAAATCTCATGTCTAACCTAGAAAGTTGAGCAAACGTGAATCACATCTGTGCAGCGTTGCATTTTAGAGAATAAATGGTATGCATCTCAAAAATATCTGATGCATTTTCAGTGGATCTGTTATTTCTCCTCAGAACTTAGCTCCTGTTATTTGTTTTTAACAAAGTCTGAAAGGAAAATACACCCACAACATTTCTGTAGTAGCATTTCCTGTTTGTCACCACCACTTTTCATGCGCTTCTTATTCAGTTTGGTGATAAATGTCCTTGAACATATTTTGGAGTTTAAGCACACATGAGCAACCTGTTCACAATAACACAGAAAAGAGGCAGGACGTGATATTTAAATTCTGCGTCTATCACACAAATTCTTTCGGAGATATATTTCCTTTTTATTCAGTTTTGGATGAGTGTCATATAAGAAAGGTCATCAACATGCCCCCTCGCTCCACTACACGACTACTCACATGTGCTCACTCGGACATGATCTGGAGTTTTTACTAGGGGGCTGGCAGAAAAAACTCCAGGGTTTGTCCAGAGCAACTGAATCTGAACTTTGTGTTCTCATACAGCTCCTCTGGAGAATGTCAGGAGATTATGGACTTCACTGCATGTCTCAAAGCAGCTTTAAAGCGACATTGGTTGGTATCTTGTCATGAGCTTTTGCCCAAACATGTAGTTCTCAGTTGTTGCAGAAAAATGAGCACACTATTTAACTCCTCTTTTTTTGGTTACAAAAGATTCAGTCATTTGTCAATGGTTCAGCATTGAATCTTTTCCGACAGTGAAAGCCACCCTCTGGTATGGCTGCCAGTCAAAGAGACAAATGCTACCGCTGCTGCTGGGAACATCCACTTCCAGCCAACAACAGCCAAAAGACCAAATATATACAGTACATGTTGGGCTGACTCCCTGCGAGAGGGGGAAAATAAAGGGGGGGGGGGGGGGTAGGAGCAGAGAGAGAGAATGGCATGTTCTGTCCCAGACTCTGAGAGAGAGGGTGGGAATGCTGTGCAAGTGTGTACTACAGAGGGGGTTGTTGGGATTAAGGATGTGTAGTCGTTAGAGGAAGAAGTGGATGATTTTGATAGAGTCCTCTCTGTCTCCCTCACTGCAGAAGGTAAAGAATCACCCCTGTGCTTGTAGAGTTGGTTTACTGTCACTGATACATGAGGAAATCCTGAGTAGGACTTTTGTCGTATTAAGCACTAATCTCTAACATATGGTTGTGACTGCTGAACTGACTCATTCACTGAAACATTTTGACAGTGAATTAGCTGCAGGGACGTGAGTCTCCTCCACGGTCCAGCGTGCGTATCTAAAGAGACTTCCACTTGGAGCCAAGCTGTTTGCTTTCCTGGAGAAGCTGCGTTCAGAAGAAGCCCTCAGTGTTTTGTTTTCCTCTCTGGAGACCCTCTGATTTATTTAACAAGCTTGTGGAGTACTGACTGACCGTAAATGGGCATATTGGGCCTGGGGTTTTCTTTTCTTTTTAACCCTCTGCTGTTACTTAACTTTGTTACTGATGAGAAACATGATCGCCTCTGTCACCAGAAGATGATATGATTTAATTTTGGCAGTGACTGAGAGGGTTTTTGTTACAGTCTCTTCTGTAAATGGTATGCGAGTTTAGTCAGGAGGCATATTGATGGAAATGTCCACAAGAAATGCACACACACAAAAGATGACAGTAATGCTCATTTTAGCTTGATTGAGTTGCTGGTCCACAAGGGAAATACCTCCCATTTATTTCCAGCAGTTCACCCTGTGTCCCCCACAGCAGATAACCTCTGATCTCTGAGGTCAGGTGGCTAATCCTCCATTAAAAGGCAACAATGTCGGGGTTACACTCCCCCCTGTCCTTCAAACTGGCAGTACAAATGAATTCCTTAACGTTTCCAAGCAGACATTAACAGTAAGTTATCAGCATCCGCTCCGAAGAAAGACAAGAGCTGCCTTGTAATTGTTTGGCTTATTATCAGAGATATTTTTCTTCTTCAACCACCTGATTGTCCTCTGGCTAAACAAACCTTTACTCAGCGACTCAGATTATTTTTGCTTTCAGACCTCAGACCTTTAAGCGGATGTGTTTTTAATCAAACCCTCCTCAGGACCAGACCTTAATACAATAGAGCTATTTTCACAGAGTCTGTGCTCCATCTTGGTATAAAGAGACACAGTCCTGAGCTGGTTACTGCTGGAAAGTGCAAACAGTGTCCTGCTCTGCCTCATGCATTGTGCAAGTTCTCCCAAGTGACCCTGATGTGCCAGCTATAGCTGCAGATACTTGTCTTCAGAGTAGCGATTATGTAACTGTGGGTTAATCGCCGCAGTGCTTTGTGTAGCAGAAACACATCATATCAGCCAGCATCAGTGGTGCTTTCATCTGGTAACACAGCTTTCATACACCCCAGCACATAGCCTCTCCCAGGGCTCACCTCTTAGGACTTTTATTACTTGTCTTATCAGGGAAGAAGTGTGTTGTCTTTCATACGACCAGCGCCTTCTGTAGTTCAGTCTGTCGGCTGTTGTGATGGCTGGTTTAAATACATCTCAAATCTCTAGACTGACATTTTTGTCGGTTTGCAAAGTGCGAGGTGGAAGAGACAGGTGTACGCCAGAGAGCTGGAAGTTAACTTGTGTATTTCGGCCTGCTTAACAATACAGTCGGCAGCTGGAGCAGCAGCAGCAGCTGTGGTCCAAAGCTCATGGAGGCAATTAAGTTACTTTAAAACACTTTGTGTCTGATTGCTGCAGTTGGCGTCAAAAATCATTCTCTACTCTACTCATACAGACATGATGCACATGCAGTGTTTCAGCTTCAGTGTAAATTAAATTTACTGGGCACATCATAATCTCCATGCCATTTATTTAGGCAAGGTCACAAGTACGCTATTGTCAAGCTAACATGGCGGGTCAAAGTTCACCAAGTTTAATTTTACACGAAGCCACGCCGTGATTTGCTTCACCACAAAATATTAAATGTTTTATTCTTCTCCTCACTTGCATAGACTTGAAGTGAATGTACGTACGTGAGACAGTGCCCTAACTCCAGCAGGTGCCTGACACTTAATGATATTCAAGTTTTCTTCAGTATTAAAGTAATGCAGTGATAGTTTGTACACCCATGGGTGCATGGCAAACGGGAACAGCTAATAACTATATCAGCATATTTTTTGGTTCCAAATTGCCAATAGTCACTGAGAAGGAACTGTCCAATCACCACTGTTATGGAAGTTTTCTGGAAGCTGGTGAAAGGAGAACTCAGACAGCAGCTGATGTCTTACGCAGAAGATTTTAATGTAGAGTTGAAGCATCAAGGAGATCAGAAGGTGGAACAATATACAAACGCTAACAGAGTAACATGAGACATTGTCACCCCCAAGTCTGAAGATGTCTCCCACAGCATCCGCATATATCTTCCTCTACTTGCGTCACCCATTCTAACAGCACATCCATGAATGGCTAGAGCTGCTGTCACTCTCTATGTTACATGTATGTGTTTGCATCCTGCTGGAGACTGGTGTAATACTCAAAAGAGTAGAAGTTGGTGAGAGTTGAAGTTGGTGCCTCTCTGTCTGGGACATCTGAGTTAGATATGTAAGTCCCTAAGCGTAGACACTAATGTTCTGTTGGTCGGTCCTTTATCTATAACCTGACCTTGTGTACTGCTCAGAGAGAGAAGGGAGGATCTGAGGAATTAGCCAGGCAGTCTTCTCTAAATGGTGTACAGATATAATGTAATATACACTATATATACATAATACAGTATATAGTGGCTTATTCAGTAATGTGTGAGGATATATGAAAATTCCTCAACAACCACGTGGTATGGTACTGAATGCTGGTCGTGTTTCATATCTCATACTGTGTATCTATAGTGAGCTACTCTATGTACAGTAGCCTACTTCTGCAGCCACATTTGATGTTCCAGTCTTTCCTTCAGTCATGTAGCATGTCCAGTAATGTCCCCCACCTCAACCTTTCCCTTCCCCTTCCCATCATCCCTCAGACTCTCTGACCTCCCTCTGCATGAGGCTGGAGTGGGTTGTTTTTATTGGTTTGTAATCTCAGCTGAGCATAAGTCAGCCCCCAATGTCGACAGCGTTACAAGGCCTCAATAGTAAAGTAACATGATTGTTTTGAACAGTTTCCTGGAGATAATGGGAGCAAGGAGAAGTTGGGCATTAGGAAAGAAAAGAGAACCGGGGCGATGAGACATGTTTGTTCCTGGCAGCTCTTAGCTCCAAAGCCGAGGAGGAGCTGAACAGGGGTGCACGCATTA